ACAGAGGGAGATCACAAGCAAGCCTCTTTCTGAAATTGTTCTCAGAAAAAAGGCTCAGAACTGCTCCCCACACGCACAGCCTCAGAGAATGTCAGAGTCTTAAGACCCGCAGAAGTTTTATGGGCCAGCCTCCCTAATTCAGAGGTGAGTGGCCTGTCTGAGGTCACCAGCTCATCCTTGGCAGAACCAGGGAGGGAGCCAGGCCTGTCCCAGTCTATTCCGTGACATGACCTCAGTGGGAGAAGCCAGACTGTGCCTTGCACGGCCCACTGATCCAGAGTGTTGTGATCTGGTTTTAACTCAAACAAGTAAGTAACCGAGGCTGACTTTGCAAAGTAGACAAACAAGCTAAGACATAGGAACTTGTAGACCAAGTCCCTTCCCCTCAAAACCCACAGGCCTTTCCCTATGATAAGAACTAAGATCAAGACTGAATCAGACAACCCCCTGACAGGAGAGGTCAGCCATTCCTTCTTCCCAAGCAGAAGCTCCCAGCCCCCCTGCACCGCCATCTGCTCAGTCACTCGGAGGGTGACTCACTTGTGGAGGAGGCAGCCCCCCTGCCCCCAGGGGACACACGGGCAGCATCTTCTTGATTTTGTCACTGCTACACTGGCAGGTGGGTGAGGGGTTCTCCATCGTCCAGTTCCCATTTTGGAAGAGGTCCGTGATGGTCTGGGGAACGGGGGCGGTGGTCCACTCCTCCTCCCCCACCGAGCAGGGCATGTCTCTGCAAAGGGAGGGCAGCAAAGGCAGCATCACCCAAGAGGACCTGGCCTTTCCTGGTGCCTCAGGAGCACAGACCAATCAATAACAGCCACAAACATGCATCTATCCATCCCCTCACCATTTGTTTCATCTCCCCACAGACCTGTAAGCTGCAAACTCACTTTACAGTTAAGGATGAAGGAACACAAAGAGGCCCTAAATGCTCATATACCAAACTCCAGTCAATCCAATCTGCCGGCATTTGGTCTCTTGCCCCTGTGTTCGCTCAGCGAATATTCACTGAGCATCTACTATGTGCCAGACACTGTTCTGCATATCTGAGAGTCTGGGGTGAACAAGACAAAGTCCCTGCCTTCTGGAGAGGAATTTGGCAATAAGCAAAGGTCACTTAGCCAAAAATAAAGCAAAATAAGAGGACATTGAATCGGGGGAAGAGGGACTACTGCCTTCTTCCAAGACATAAATGATTAGAAAGGAGTCAGGAAAAGATCTGGGGAGAAAGAACACAACAAGCAAAGGCAATAGAAAGTGTAGGTACAAAGTCTCTCAGAAGAAGTGAACTTTCCATGTTTGAGGAACAGCAGGGGGACGGTGTGGCTGGAATGGGATGAGGTAGGGAGGAGAGTGATGGGAGTTGAGGGTGGAGGGAGGCAGGTGCCAGATGACCAGGGCCTGGGAAGGAGTCTGCATGTTATGCTCAATGTGCTGTAAATCTGGTGCAGGATGGCAAGATTCACTTTATGCTTTAAAATGAGTACAGAATTGGAGTTTGGAGGGGATGGGGTGAGGGTGCTCAGTACATGAAGAGCTAGGTTGTCTGCAAGCATCACAAGGCCTTGATGCCTGACTTGAGCTCTGAATCACTGTGGACCATCAACACAATGCTTGCCCTCGTGGGTCTTATCTTCTCCACCAGTAAAATAAAAGTACATAATGTCATGCTAAACAAGTCATTTCCAGCATCCCTTCCAGTTGCAAAATTCTACAATGCATAGCCACACTCTTTATGTTATTCTTGTACGTGCTAAAAATATCAAAGGAACAGATTTGTGGACTGCTCTCTAGTTCTCTCTAAAGCTCCGTGACTTGATGGAAAAGTCAAAGTAAGACACCGTGCCCTCCTGAAGCTCAATACTCTAAAACCTCCAAAAGATGATGGGCAGAGATAAAGTTAAAAGCCACTGGTAAGTGTCCCAGTCAAATTTCCCTTAGTTATACCACTTTTTGAAAAACTTAAAATCTGAATTTCAGTAAGAGTTGTCAGTACAGAGATGACATCTTCAGACTGCCTCCAGTACACATCAATGGTGCTCTTCATCAGAGCTGTAGCATCTGAATCAGGCTCATGCTTCTTTTGTCTTTCTAGCCTGGAAAACTGAACCTACCTCTACCAGCACTGGGCTCTCATAAGCTTCTCACCTCTCTTCATTGTCTTTACTCAGTGATCCCTTGATGTACCTTTGGCCTCCCCTCCCAGACACTTAGAGGCTTATGGACATTCACTGAATTTGTTTATACAGTGCCGTAAAAAAAGGATTTTGAAGACAAATGTCATAAAAAATATATACATTAAAATAAGAAAATATGTATTATTATAAAAAGTGAATACATCATGTTTTCAGGTTGTCAAAGTGAAAAAGCTGATAAGCAAAACCAAAAATTATATATAATGGAGAAGCCCATTGTAAAACTTAGGTACAGGAGTTGATGGAAAGCATTTGACAGGTAAGTATAAGGTGCTATTAAATTAAATATTAATGTGCTATATCAGTAAAAAAAAAAACAGCTATAATGATTCAGTTCGCAAGATGTTAGAACACTCTCCAAATGTTCATTTCTAGATGTTCTGATTTTTTAAAATTAAAAAAAAAAAAAAGATTCAAAGGGCAAATGATGGTAGTCACAGTGTGGCATGCAGCTGATAAATGCAATATTAGAGAGGAAATTAGAGGTGACAATGACAAGAAGCCAGTCAAGGAGGGTCTAAAACGGCACTCAGAGGATTGGTTTTCCTTCCACATGTTGGATCCCAAAGCCAGCATCTTTGCTGAGGGCATTCAAGAGTTCCTGGGTGCCCACGTTCTCAGAAGTGTCATCACTGTGGGTACATGAGAAGCAGCCAATTTAGTAGTTCATTAAAAATAGGCCTGGGTGGCTCAGTTGCTGAGTGTCTGCCTTCGGCTCGGGTCATGATCCCAGGGTCCTAGGATCGAGCCCCGCATCGGGCTCCCTGCTCCACGAGAAGCCTGCTTTCTCTCCCCCACTCTCCCTGCTTGTGTTCCCTCTCTTGCTGTGTCTCTGTCAAATAAATAAATAAAATCTTTAAAAAAGAAATAGGAACTGGGAGGTAAAAAAGTTTTTCGAAGTAACTGCTTTATTAAACACTTCCTGAGTGCTAGGTTCTTAACACAAAAATGAATAAAACACAGACTCACCTATAAGGACTTTAGATACTAGCCACATATTTGATATCAGGATGATAAACAGCACTCCAGAGTGGAGACTGTATAAATATGTATAAGTTGTGTGTATGTGCGCACATATATCTGTATAAACACACATACATAATATATATTTACATAAGTATTTTAATGTGAAGTAAAGAAACTTATTAAAGAGCTGTATTCCGAAAGTACTTTCAGGGGCACCTAGGTGGCTCAGTCGGTTAAGCGTCCAACTCTTTTTTTTTTAAGATTTCATTTATTTATTTGTCAGAGAGAGAGAGAGCAGGGGGAGCGGCAGGCAGAGGGAGAAGCAGGCTCCCTGCTGAGCTGGGAGCCCCATCTGGGACTCGATCCCAGGACGCTGGGATCATGACCTGAGCCGAAGGCAGACACTTAACTGACTGAGCCACC